TATTTTTCGGGTATAATTCTGCATTTTCACGTGTTCAAACTAGCAAATTCAAATTTCCCATCAAATTCTATCCTTGAAACCAAGAAAAAACACAATTTTTCCTGGTGGCCGAGTTTCTGGATTTTCTAGGCCACCAGGGGAAAAGTTAGGCCATGGGCGTATTTTAGTTGGGAAAACACGTTTCTAGGTTAATTTTTGACGAGGAATTCGAATTCGAAATTTATTGAATGTGAAAATGAAGGAGAAACTCAAAAAATTCAAAAAAATACTCGTTTTCTAGGCCAACAATGGGAAAAGTTAGTCCCTACTCATTCATGGGCGATTTTAAGCCCTTTGACGACATTTGAAAATAGTTTCTAGACTAGAATTTTGTGAGGAATCCGTTTTTAATCTCTTCAAAAATCAAGGGTTCCCTTAAATATATAGGCATTTTCCAGGCGAACCCCCTCGTGCATTCGGCTACTACTACGAAGATGATGATGTCTACGAAACAAAGACCCGAGATATGATCGGAAATGGTTCGGAGCGGCGGCCAACAACATCTACAGTAACCTCAATGGGTCAAACCATGAGCCGAGCCATCGAGCAGCACAAATACGACATCCGCATGCGACAGGCGCAACAACACATGTACCAACCCAATAATGAAGAATAGAACAGTTTAAAGGCACATAACTTGCTTGAAAATTAAGCTAGAAACATTTTGAAAATTGTAAAATGTGTGAAATTTTACGCTGAGCAATTTTGCAGTTGGCAAAATTTTGAAAGCTATTTTAGTTTTTGAGATATGTGCCTTTAAAGATTATCGATATTTTTTCTAATTTATTGTTCTTAGACGGGTCCATTCAGTTCTTTCTTCTTAAATCATTGTGCTCTTTTTTCTGCTTCTTCTTGCAAATGGAAGAAAACTTCTCACAAAATTTCTTGATTACCGATTCATTGATTTTTTGAAGCTCCGCCCCCTTTTCTCCATAATTCGTGTAAATATTCCGATACATTGTACCTCATATCTTTTTTCTCTGAAATTTTTTTCCTTACAGTTCTTTTTTTGAATGAATGATTGATTTTTTGATTGCTCAGATTCTTTGGAAAATTCAGAAATTCAGAAATTCAGAAATTTAGAAATTCAGAAATTCAGAAATTCAGAAATGCAGAAATTCAGAAATTCAGAAATTCAGAAATTCAGAAATTCAGAAATTCAGAAATTCAGAAATTCAGAAATTCAGTAATTCAGAAATTCAGAAATTCAGAAATTCAGAAATTCGGAAGTTCAGAAATTCAGAAATGCAGAAATTCAGAAATTCAGAAATTCAGAAATTCAGAAATTCAGAAATTCAGAAATTCAGAAATTCAGAAATTCAGAAATGCAGAAATTCAGAAATTCAGAAATTCAGAAATTCAGAAATTCAGAAATTCAGAAATTCAGAAATTCAGAAATTCAGTAATTCAGAAATTCAGAAATTCAGAAATTCAGAAATTCAAAATTTTCAAAATTCCAAAAATTCAAAAAATCGAAAATTTGGCTGTTTTAAGCATGAGCAATCAACACAAAACATAGTATTATCTTTATTGGAGATCACAATTTTACAAAATCAAGAAAAATCAAGAAAACAAAGTGGTCGTTGACAGAATCTCATTGATCAGCGGATCACAATCCATGATTTCGAAGAACGATATGATGATCAGACTATTGACGAGTTCCATCACTTCAGACTAAAATTTGCTCAATTTTTTTAGATTTAATTGGTTAATTGGTCAATTAAAAATAAAAATATATAAATTGTTCTACATTTTCCAAGTTTCAAAATCGTTCTAGCTTGTTTTAGAGCTGAGATATGCGACTTTAAAGTTAGTATTCTTGTTTTTCTTGGTTTCTAGACTTTAAAGGCGCATAACTCACTTGAAAATTAAGCTAGAAAAAATTTGAAAATTGGAATTTGTTGGAAATTTTATGACAATTAATTAATTAGTTGACTAACTTTTTCTAGCTACGGTAGTTTTCAAGATATGCGCCTTTAACGTCAGCCTCCCTTAACCTCGTTGTCTGGACTTTAAATTTCCAAGCCATAACTGGCTTGGAAATTGAGCTAAATTTAAAATAGGAAAACATTGGAAATTTTACTTTTAACAAAAACTTCCAAAACTCACACATATAGAACTAGAAAACAGCACAATATTCGCAGCTCTGACCGGTCCCTCCTCGTCTCCATACGTATCGATGCACCATTTGAGGAGACATTGAGTGAGCAGTGACTTTTGTTTTCTTACTGTATCCTTATCACATTCTTGTAGATTGAAATGTGCGGTTTGCCAGCAACATAAGGCTTTTAATATGCTGTTTTCCTCGAAAGATGGGTCCAATGCTTCGTAGTGCGGCATGAAGTCGATCCAAGACTTGACACGGGGCTGGAAAATTTGGGTGTTAATGAGAAAAATGTACGGTTTGTAAATATTTGTATTGCATATCATTGGAAAGCCCTTAAAATTTTCTACAAATATATGTAGTTTTCAACTTTTTAGCTTAATCTTGAGATGAGTTATGCGCCTTTAAAGTTAGCACGACTAGAGAGTGGGGGCAGCGAAGAGTGCGCAGAGAAGCGAGAGGTGTCTCGTCGTCTGGCGCGCTAGCCAAACAAAGGGGTGTATCATGGGTTAGAATAGACGGATTCAAACCATTTTAGGCTAATTCTGAGGGAAGAATGTGGGAAATCAGAAGATTTCTAATTTAGAAAGTTTTCAAAAAAATATTTTGTTCTAAAAACTTTTGCGCGTCTGCAAAATCCTCAACATTTTCCAGGTTTTTGGGACCAAATTTTCAGATTACTCACCTTAATAATGTTCTTATACTTCTCCAACTCCTCCTTCTTCGTGAACATTAGCTCCGTGCCCGGTTCATCGCCCAACAGAGGCAACGGCTTCATTTGAATATACGTCCCATCCTGACTAATCAATAAATTCGATTCCGTTCCAATACACATTGTATAATACGACGAACTGATCACAAAATCCACACCACAGGCAATTCGAAATAAGAAATTCTGACTGGCATTTGATAGTTCTTGAAATCCGGGTAGGGTGTTTGCGTAGTTGAACAACATCACGTATTCCTGCTTTTGATAGCCACGGTAGGATCGGAAATCGAACGGTTGGAGTTGGTGTTTTTCAAACGGCTGGAAATGTCTTCAATTTTCTGTAATACCCGATTTTCTAAATCTTTCTAGCTATTCTAGTTTTTGAGCTATTCGCATTTAAAATGAAGACATGGAAGCATAAGTCAGGCAGGAGTCCTAGACTTTAAAGGCGCATAACTCGAATTCTAAAAATTGCATCATATCTAAAATTTTAAGAGAATCATTTTCGCAATAAGCCGAAAATTTCTAGCTATTCTAGTTAAATTATTTTAGCTCAATTTTGGACCAAGTTATAGCCATTTAAAAATAGGTCCAAATTGTTTTGAATTTTGATTTTTTTTTTGAATTTTGAAAATACTGTAACTTTTTCGAAATTTGAGCTTTACAAAATTTTTAACTTGAAAAATGTAGGAAATTTTTTAAACATCATTTTTGTAGTTTACAAAATTTTTCTAGGTCCTCTAGTTTTTAAGATATGCCATTTCAAAGTTAACACTCACGACGCGCTCCTCGACGCGGCACAGCAACGAGACACTCTAGCTGTCTGCGTCTCTATTTTTAGAATGAGAGCTATCAAAAATTTTTAAACTACAGAATTACTCAAAATGAAATTTCCGACATTTCTAATTTTTTGAGAATTTTCTAGCTCAATTTTGGACTAAGTTACAGCTATTTGAAAATTGATCAAAAATCTTAATTTCTGGGAATTTTAAAAAATTCAAACCTCTGTAACGTTTTCGAAAATTGAGCTAGAAAATTTTTTAAAATTGGAAAATGTAGGAAATTTTATCAGAATCATTTTTGCAATCGGCAAAATTTTTCTAGCTGCCTTAGTTCTTGAGATATGCGCCTTTAAAGAAACGGCTAGTTATCTATGTCTCTCCTCCCTTTCAAAGGGGCGCATAACTCAGCTCAAAAGAAAGCTATTCAATGTTTATAAATTGGAAAATGTAGAAAGTTTAACCATAATCATCTTCACAGTTGACAAAAATATTCTAGCTATTCTAGTTTTTGAGATATGCGCCTTTAAAGTTGACGCGCTCCTTGACGCCCAGAGAAACGAGACACTCTCGCTTCTCTGCGTCTCTCCTACTCACCATTTTACACATCCCTGAGAAAATATCCAATAATCTGGAATCGGTAAATGCCATTCGTCGACTTTTGTTCAGATTTGAGTCCATTTTGAAGAAATGCTCATTCAATTTTCGAATTTCATCGTTTTTCATTGGAGAATGAGGTAAAGGGGCGGAGCTTGTGGATGGTGTGGATCCGAGAGGTGTTGAAGGTGATAGGGAAGCATTCTGGAATATTGGCAAAATGAATCTTGATTGAATTTCCTACATTTTACAGTTTTTACAATTTGCCTAGCCGAATTTACGAAAAAGTTACAATTTTTAAATATTTTCGAAATTTGAAGAATTTTGTCAATTTTCAAAAATCTGTAACTTTGTCCAAAAATAGGCTAGATAAATTTCAAAAATTGAAGAATGTAGGAAATTTTATGCTGAGCAATTTTGTAGTGTACAGCTTTTTGATAGCTCTAATGGTTTTAGAGATAGAGACGCAGACACCTAGAGTACCTCGTGCCTCTGCGCTCCTCGGTGCTCTCTGACTTTAAAGGCGCATAGCTCGAAAACTAGGATAGCTAGGAAAATTTTGTCAACTAACAAAATGATTCTAAGGCATTTTTTGATTCAATCCAGTTTTCAAAAGTTTTCTAGCTTAAATTGCAAGGAAGCTAGATGTAACAATTTCAAAAAAAAACATTAATTTTCAAAAAAATATGGAATTTTGAGTGATTTTCAAATAGCTACAACTTGGTCCAAAATTGAGCTAGATTAATTTCAAAAATTGAAGAATGTAGGAAATTTTATGCTGAGCAATTTTGTAGTTCACAGCTTTTTGATAGCTCTAATGGTTTTAGAGATAGAGACGCAGACAGATAGATTGTCTCGCCAGCCTGCCTTTCACCTCTGTGTCCTATGTTTAAAAGCGCATATCTCAAAAAACAAGAGAACACCTATAAAAATGTTACAAGCTAACAAAATGATTTTCGAAAAATTTCTATTTTTTGCAGTTTTCAAAATTGTCCTAGCACAACTTTCAAAAAAAAAAAATTACAGCAATTTGAATTTTAATGAATGTTTGGAACCAAAAGTTACCTTTTTTCGTTTTTTCAATGGAATCAAAACTTCTTGGAACATATAACCTAGTAGCATTTTTGAGGAAATTTTGATTCTAGAAAAAATATGCTTTCTAATCCCCTTCCCTAAGCTCCGCCCCTTTTTTCTTTGCAAAAAGGGGGCGGAGCCAAAAAGAAGGAGTGTGCGTGCGCGTGCTGTTTACGAGTGTCCACCACTGGCTAGAGAGTTGGCTAGATAATATTTTTCTCTCATTTTTTTGTCAGTCACTTCTTTTTCTGGTTTTTTGAGCCAATTTTTTCTCAAAACGTCTCACCTCCGTATTCCCTGCTCCATCTGGTCGCCCCCTTTTAGATTGAACCACTGAAAAACATTTTATTTGAAAAATTCCTATACATTATTGTATATCACCAAAAAGCCCTCGACATTTCCTACAAATCGATCTGGTTTTCATTTTTCTAGCTCAATTTTAAGAAGAGTTATGCGTCTTTAAAGTTAGCACGACTAGAGAGTGGGGGCAGCGAAGAGTGCGCAGAGAAGCGAGAGGTGTCTCGTCGTCTGGCGCGCTAGCCAAACGAAATTGTGTATCTTGGGTTAGAATAGACGGATTTAAGTGATTTTAGGCTAGTTTTGAAGGGAACAACTGAGAAATTGAATGAACCAAAATTTTCAGAAAATCTGAAAAAAAATAATTTTCAAAAAAAAATTTCAACTTACTATATCTCTGCATGTTGTTGTTGATGCACTTCTGGTATCGACACTTTTTACAAGCCATTCGACGTTCTGCAAATTGTAATAATCCGTGTTTTTTTTTGTCGTTTCATTTAGATGGATTTAGATGTAGATTTTAGATGGATAATAGCACTTCGAGCTCAATTATTTCGGTTCCTATAGAAGATATCAAAAAGTTGTCAATTGATAAAATGTTTATCATAATATCACCTACATTTTATCAGTTAACAGATTATTGATATCTTTTACGGGAACTGAGATGATTGAGCTCAAAATTTGAGCACCCTAGGATCGTTTTTTAGAGGAAACGGAGTATTTTTAACTCCAAATTTTTTTTTATTTCTAAAGATTTTTTCCCCAAAATTTTAATTTTTTAGGCTTTAATGTTTGATTTTAACAATTTTCCTCTAAAAATTACCATGATTAACTTCACAATCCTGATTCCCGGTGATACAGTCATAGGTGATGTCCAGTGCGACGGTTCGACGGAAAAATGCGGCACAGGCCTGGAAAAAAACTATTTTTGGAGATTTTGAAACTTCTGAAATTGTTAGAAATTGAATTTCCTATATTTTACAGTTTTTAAAATTTGCCTAGCTTAATTTTGACCAAGATATAGCTATCTGAATAATTATAACATTTGGGGCACAATTATTTGAGAATTTTTTTCAAATTGACATAACTTTTTTAGAATTTTAGCTAGAAGGATTCTGAAAATTGGAAAGAATCAAGAATTTCATAGAAATCATTTTGTCAGTTGACAGAATGTTTCTAGCTATTTTAGTTGTTGAGCTATGCGCCTTTAAACATAGCACACACCGGCGAGGAGAAGGCAGGCGAGACACTCTAGCTGTCTGCGTCTCTATCTCTAGAACCATAAAAGTTACAAAAAAAATGAAAATTACGAAATTGCTCAGCATAAAATTTTCTACATTTTCATGTTTTTAAAATTAATCTAGCTCAATTTTGGACCAAGTTACAGCCACTTGAAAATATAGAAAAAAAATTTTTTTGAAAATTTTTTTAAAAGTCAATTCATGGAAACATAGCATTTTTCTACTTTTTTAGACTATTTTCAGCTCATTTTCTGCAATTTTCAATTGTTTTCAAACCATTCTCAACTATTTTTAGGGTAATTAAGGTCCAATGGACCACTTTTTGAATTTTCAGCTTTTCTAGCCTGCTTTTAACCATTTTCAGCCTATTTTTCTGGAAATTTCAGTTTCTCCAACCATTGCTAACCTATAATGCTCTATTTTCACTCCCCTATTACCCCTAATTACCCTCTAATTACGCCCCAAATCACTCACCTTACAACTGGGCGCTCCAAAGTGCAGCGAAAGTGCCACCGAGTCGCAAATCGCACATTTCATGGTCAAATTTTTTGAAAATTTTCTACAAAAACGTTTAAAATTAACACTAATTAGCACTAATTATCCGAAAAAAAAGCAAAAAAAAGCAAAAACGGGCCGTTGACGGCCCGCTGGCTGGCTACACTCTAGCGAATCAATCGAGAGGGTGAGAGAGTGTGTGAGAGCGAGAGAGTGGCAGAGAAAGAGAAAAAGAGAGACCAACTGGGCTAGAGTACAACATACATAAGACTAACACGTGCAGTTATTTGGTTGGGGGAGAAAACGGGGAAGGAGCATTTGATGAGCGGGGGAGAAGAGAGAAAATTATGAAAAACATTTTTTTTAGGAGTTACAATTTTCAAATAGCTGTAACTTGGTTCAAAATCAAGCTAGATTAATTTCAAAAATTGAAAAATGTAGAAAATTTTATGCTGAGCAATTGTGTAATTTAGAACTTTTCTATAGCTCTCATGGTTCAAGAGATAGAGACGCAAACAGCTAGAGTACCTCGTGTCTCTGCGCTCTCGGCGCTATCTAGCTTTAAAGGCGCATAGCTCAATAACTAGAATAGCTAGAAAAATTTTTTTCAACTAACACAATGATGAATATTAAGATTATGATGCTTACCATTTTTCAAAACTTTCCTAGGTCGAATTGGAAACAATTTATGGCAATTTGAAACTTTTTGAAATTTTCGAAAAATTGTGAATGTTCACCAATTTTCAAACAGCTACAACTTGGTCCAAAATTGAGCTAGATTAATTTCAAAAATTGGAAAATGTAGGAAATTTTATGCTGAGCAATGTCGTAGTTTACAACATTTTGATAACTCGGATAGTTCTAGAGATAGAGGCGCAGACAGCTATAGTCTCTCGTTTCCCTGTGTTCCTCGGCGCGAACTAACTTTAAAGGCGCATAGATCGAAAACTAGAATAGCTAGAAAAATTTTGTCAACTAACAAAATGATTTTCAAAACATTTTTGATGTTTTCCAATTTTTAAAAGTTTTCTAGCTTAAATTGCAAGAAAGTTATGGCCATTTCAAAAAAAATTTAATTTTCGAAAAAATGGAAATTTTGACCAATTTTCAAATAGCTTCAACTTGATCCAAATATAAGCTAGGTAAATTTTAAAAATTGGAAAATGTAGAAAATTTTGTGCTGAGCAATGTCGTAGTTTATAAATTTTTAATAACTCTGATAGTTCTAGAGATAGAGCTATCAACAAGTCGCTAGAGTGTATTAACTGCCCCTCGCCACTGTTTCAGAGTTCAGTGTCTGGAAAAGTACTTCAAACTTATCCGTTTCGTATGAAAATTTTAGAGGAAATCACTCAAATGTATTACTGTAATTTCTCAAATTTTCAGATCAAATGGACTAGTAAAAAGTACATTTTCAGACGTTTGAAATCGATCATTTTCAGCCAAAAATGGAATTTCGGCCAATTGATCATTGTCATAAAATTTTTGAGTTTTTCAGAGATTTAAAATTGTCTGAAGTTAAAAATTACTGTCGATTTGGATTCAGCGCAAAATTTCGGTCTGAAATTTGTAGAAAAAATTTGATTTATATGGCTTTTTATTGATTTTCAGCGAATTTTTCAAAAAAAAAGGGGCGGGGCTTAGAAGAAAAAGGGGCGGGGTTTTTGTATCAGGGAAGTGTGTGGGTGGTGGCAAAAAAGAAGTCATATATGTACATAAATTACAAATTGGCGCGGGTAATTTCAAATTTTCGCGCCAAAATTTTTTTTTTTGGGATTTTTTTGAAAATTAAAAAAAAAACAGATAAGCGCCTATATATGGGTGTCAGGGGTTTTTGGAGGAGGATCAGGGTGGGTTGGGAAAAATCAATAAATCGATATAAAGTGAAAAATTGTGTGTGTGTTTCGAATCGAGGAGGAGGAAAAGGGGGCGGAGCAATTTGTTGCATGTTTTTTAGAAAAGAAAGAAAAAGTGGGCGGAGCCTAGAAGGAAATATGTACAAAAAACATTTTTTTTTTTTGGGATTTTTTGGATTTTTTTGGGAATACCCGCCGACACACATTTTGTAATAGAGCTTTAAAAATTTTCAGCCAAAAAAATTATTTTCTGAAATTTCTAGAAGAGGCAAATGGGAAGGAAAAGAGAGGAAGATCGGGATCAATGGTATGTGTGTGTTATAGTTTAAGCGGTAAATTTGAAATTTTCAAAATTTTCAAAAAAAATTTTTTTTTTTTGAAAATTTCAAAAATTTCAAATTTCGCGCCCAAAATTTTTTTTTGGTTGTCAAAAACGAAAAATAAGGAGAAATGGCTTAAAAAATCGAATCGAAATTCGCAAAAATAACATGTTTTCAGTGTTAGTTTTGTAATGCCTAAAGTGGGCGGGGCCTATTTACATAAAAAGGGGCGGAGTCAAAATACAGATTGGAGACAAAATCTAGAGTGTGGCCCAGAAGAAATGGCGCGAAATTTGAAAAATTTTTGGGGCGGGCCTGAAAATGTTTCGCTACTACAGTACTCCCTGAGCTTTGTTAGGTTTCTAGAATAAAGGGACCAGTCTTTGAGGGGAAAATATAAGAAAAATAGAGGTGAGAGCGGAGATTTTGGAAAAAAATGGGACCAAAAAAGTGGGCGGGGCTTAGAAACAAATCACAATTGAATTGATAAAATATGATTAGGGGGAGAAGAAGAAAAGGGGCGGGGCTTAAAAGAGAAAAACTGAAAATCAAGGACACAGAAACAGAATTATGTACATAATGGATGGATTTTTCTAGAAAAATTTAAGAAAAATCCATGTGATAATGGCCAGATGATTGATTAGGATTGATTGGGTCCGGTGAGAAGCCCGACGCGTCCCAATGGATTTCTGGCGACATTTGAGAGCTGTGGAAGTGTGGCGATGGATGGGCACCGGATGAGATGAGTGGATCACCATTGATCATAGGCTGAAAATAGGGATTTTTCAGGGGGTCAGCCTTCCTGGAAGTCAAAAATTATCGCAGATTCGGATTCAGCGCAAAATTTGGGTCCAGAGGCATTATTTTATATAAACGTGTGAGATTCAGAATTTTAAAGTTTTTACGCTAAAAAAAAATTTTCCCAAAAAATAATTTTTTTTTTCCAAAAAAAATGCATTTCCCAAGTTTCAGCTAGTTCCAGACACTTTTAATTTCAAAAATCGAATTCCTCGCAAAAAACCACCCTAAAAAACGTTATTGCTGGCCTAATATCGTGCGTGGCCTAACTTTCGCCAATAGTGGCCTAGAAAATTCGAAAACTCGGCCACCGGGAAAAATTATTTTTTTAGTGGTTTCTAGGGTGAAATTTTATGAGGAATTCGATTTTTCTAGTCGGGAAAGTCTGAAAATTAGATTTTCATGCTCAAAATTTCAATTTTTCGTTTTTTTTTTGTTGCTGAAAAATTTCAAAATTTCACAAATATCGTAAAATGGACGACACTGAAATCTGGCCAAGTCATAAAGAACACTAAAACAACACCATTCAACACTGGAAATTTGAGAATACGCCAAAAACATGCTTTTAGGGTTTCTAGGCCACGAAAGTTAGGCTATAACTGGAATTTGTTGATTTCCGGCCGTTTTGGCCCATATTTTTCGGGAAAAAGTGATTTTCGGCTTGAAAACTGCGTTTAAACCAATTTTTCACATGTCAGACACTCAAAAAAAATGCTCAAAAACTTCGAATATTGATGTTTGGCTCGAAAAATTGCGAAAAGTGTCGATTGGTGCATTTTTGCTTGTTTCGGCCGATTTTAGCAGGAATTTCAGCGGCAAAAGCGATTTCAGACTGCATTTGAATTGGTTTTTCACAAATTTAAGACACTAAAAACGCAATTTAACTCGATAAAACGCTCAAAAAAAGTTAAAATCCAAAAATCGGCGCCTAAAACGCCTTCCAGTGCTTTTTGGCTCATTTTCGATCGATTTCTTTGCAGAAAAAAGGTTTTCAGACTAAAAATAAGCTTTAAATCTGTTTTTAGCATCATAAATACACTAAAAACGCACGTTACCTCGCTAAAACGTTCAAAAAACGCCTAAATTCGAAAATTGGCGCCCAAATTGGCGCTTCAGTGCCTTTCGCCTCATTTCGGCTCGTTTTAGACTAGATTTTTTGTGGTAAAAAGTTTTTAGACTGAAAATAAGCTTTAAATCTGTTTTTAGCATCATTAATACACTAAAAACGTAAGTTACCCCGCTAAAACGCTCGAAAAACGATACAATTCGAAAATTGGCGCCCAAAATGCCGCGTCAGTGCCTTTCGCCTCGTTTTGGCTCTTTTTCAGCCGTTTTTTTTTGCGGAAAACAGGGTTTTAGCTCGAAAACTGCGTTAAACATGTTTGTCGCATGTCAGACACCGAAAAGTGGCCGAAAAACGACTCAAAAATCGAAAAATTGCGCTATGTGGCGTTTTAGCTCATTTTGGCTCATTTTTGCTCGATTTTTACCCAATTTTCACATGCTTTGACACTGAAAACCGCAGTCTCACGCCTCGCATACACACATAGAATCACAAATAGAAAGGGCATGCATTAGGTGGTAGAAGCTTACACATACATTGAGATCGTCCATCATGAGGTCGGAGAACGAATTTCCAGCGCCGCCGCCACCGCCCCCGTTCACGCTAGCATTGTTACCTGTCGTCGTACCTCCTGCCCCCGGCAGCTTCCATGACGTCACACCGCTCGTCCCTAGAATTCAACAATTGGCTCCAGAAAGCCACGTGTCGGCACAAATGAAGAAGAGGAAATGGGAAGCTCACTGTAATCGGGCGGCGATGCGGAGCCCACCGAGAAGAAGCTGTCCGACGGTGCTGAGTTGTTCATGAACGAGTTTTGGCGCGAGTCGGCTGAGATTTGCAACGCAGCGGTGTTGTTTGTCACCTCGGACAAGAAGCCAGAGTTTGACTGAAAATTTTGGGAACATTCCTAGGTGAAAATTTCAAAATATTCGATTTTCTGCGTTTTTCGCGCATTCAGGGTCTAAATAACCATCGAATTCGGATTTCTAGCAAAAAACTACTTTAGAAAAATTGGTCTCGGGCCTAATATCGTGCGTGGCCTAGAAAATCCAAAAACTAGGCCATGGTAGAAAAATTGTTTTTTTATGGCTTTTACAGTGAAATTTTATGCGGAACTCACTTTTTCTAGTTGACAACGTTTAAAAATGAGTTTTTCATGCTCAAAATTTCAAATTAGGATATGCCGGGCCTAGAAATCCACAATTTTTGAGAAAAATTCAATTTCCTGACTTTCCCGCTGCCCCCAGATTTAAATGAACATCAAATTTGAACTTCTCGCTAAAAACTACCTCAGAAAACGATGTTAAAGGATGAAAATCTCGCGTGGCCTAACTTTTGCCAATGGTGGCCTAGAAAATCCAAAAACTCGGCCACTAAGAAAAAAGTTGTTTTTTAGTGGTTTCTAGGGTGAAATTTTATGAGGAATCCGATTCCTCTAGTCAAAAACGTCTAGAAATGCGTTTTTCATGCTCAAAATTTCAATTTTCAGTTCTTTTTTCTATTGAAAATTTTCAAAATTTCACAAATATCATAAAATTACAGGGTACAGGAAAAAGAAATAAGGTCAAAACGACATCTACACCAAACACTAGATATAATGATAATAGTGAATAGATAAGAATATTGTGCAGTTGGGGTTTTCTAGGCCACCGAACAAAAAAACTCGGCCACCTTGGCTTTTTGCTCTTTTTAGGCGGAATTTTATAGAATTTTCTGGAATTTTTTCGACTAAAACCATATTAAGGGTTGTGTAAATTCAAATTTGAGTAGCTGTGGCCTAGGTTTTTTTCATAATTTGGGTTTCTAGGCCACCAAGGAGAAATTGTCTAATTTGAGGATAGCTAGTCTCATTGTGGCTCATTTTCAGCCAAATTTTCTGGAATTTTCAAGAGTCAAATAATGAATTAAAAATTGTTTTTATCAAATTCAAGTTTTTCGGGGACTAGGTTTCGCCTGATTTGGGTTTCTAGGCCATCTACGCAAGTAAGGTCTATTTCAGCCTATGTCTGCTCATTTTCAGCGTAATTTTCAGGAAAACTCACGATGAATGATCCGGTTGGTGTGTGATTTGGTGGCGAGGTGTCATCCAGCTCCTGCTTAATTGGTCTATCGATAAATTTTGGAATCGGTGGCAGATGATTTGGTGGCACCTGAACGCCCTGACGTGCCAGCATGTCCTCGAGCTCTTTGACACGGTCCGCGTACTTTTGGGCGGCCGCCTCGAGATTTTTCTGGTGCTGTTGATGCTTGAGAGCGTGTTCTCTGTCTTTTTGAAGAACTCGAATATAGTCGCACGAGGCTTTGAGAATCGTTCCTTTGTTCAGCTTCATTTCTCTGGAAAATTCGGGATTTTCAGGGTTTAGATTGAGATTTAATTGAAAATAGATGTCAAATTCGGATTCAGCGCAAAATTCTAACCCGGAAACCAACAAAAATCAAAAATTTTGATGGTGGCCGAGTTTTTGGATTTTCTAGGCCACCATTGGCAAAAGTTAGGCCATACGAGATTTTTGACCTGTGACGAAGTTTTCTAGGGTGATTTGTGATCAGAAATCCGATTTTAATGTTTATTTTCACCTAGAATCATCAGGAAAATCAGAAAATACAAAAAACTACTTTTTTATTGAAAATGTGGATTTCTAGGCCAACTATGGGAACTTTTCTACACGAAATCCTCATTTTTATTATATAAGACTTGAAAATTATTCCTCATAAAAATGCACATCGGAAAGCAAGAAAAAACGAAATGTTTGATGGTGGCCGAGTTTTCGGATTTTCTAGGCCACAAAATGGAAAGTTAGGCCACGCGAGATTTTTGGCTTGGGACCAAATTTTCTAGGGAAGTTTCAAACGGGAAGACTGAATTTAATACTTATTTCAATCTAGTTACATCAGAAAGACCAGAAAATTAATTTTTTCTAAGAATTTGGATTTCTAGGCCACCAGTTGGAAAGTTAGGCCACGCGAGATTTTCGGCAAGAGACCATGTTTTCTAAAGCAGTTTTTAGCAAGAAATCCGATTTTGATGTTTATTTCTATCTAAAATCAGCGGGAAAGCCAGAAAATTGACTTTCTGGATTTCTAGGACACAATAGGTTGAAAGCTAGACCACCATTCTTTATTTAGGTGTATTTTCGACATGAAACTTCAAAATTCACACTTCGAGAATCAAAAAATTCAAATCACTTGTGAAAATCTACCCCCGAAAGCAAGAAAAAACAAGATTTTTCATGGTGGCCGAGTTCTTGGATTTTCTAGGCCACCAGTTGGAAAGTTAGGCCACGCGAGATTTTTGGCAAGGGACCATGTTTTCTAAAACAGTTTTTAGCAAGGAATCCGATTTTGATGTTCATTTCTATCTAAAATCAGCGGGAAAGCCAGAAAATTGACTTTCTGGATTTCTAGGCCAAGAGCGGCTGAAAGCTAGGCCACCATGACTTACTCAGATGTGTTTTTTGGCAGCATTTGTCCCAACTCCTTGATTCGGTCGTTGATGTTGTACCGTCGGCGGCGTTCGACTGAACAATGTATGAATTTGAAAAGTTTTAAGGCGCAAAAGTTTTTTTCAAAAAAAAAAAAATCTAAAATTTTTTTAATTTTCGAAATTTTCAAATTTCGCGCTTAAGCAAAAAGAATAAAAACTCACTCATATTATGAATATCCTTCTTCCTACGGTCCCTGTAATAGTCATCCGGATCTCCATTGCTTCCGCCGCCCGAGCCTCCACCGGACGCTCCGCCCCCTCCGCCATTCTGAACTCCGCCCAACATTTTCTCGATATCGATTGAGCCGGTTGGCGCGGAACTTGAAACGATCTGAAAATATTGATTTTCAGAAAATTGAAAAAAAGAAAAAAAATTTCAAAAAACATTTTTTTTTAGATAAGAATCTTTTTTGTTTCGTTCGAAATTGGACACAAAAAACCGGTTGATATGTATCAATTTAAAGGCGCATGACACTTTCAATTTCATTTTTTTTAGAGATAAAAGATAAGAGACTTAGAGAAAATGAAAATAGAAATCGATCAAAATAGAAAAAAATTCGAAAAAAGCTTTTTTTTTTGAAATTTTCAGAAAATTGAAAAATCTCCAAAATTGCTCCCAAACGCTTCTGAAAGCGTGCGAAACTATTAAACTCCGCCCCCCCCCCCTAAAAGTGGGCGGGGCCTAATTCACTTACCTGTCTATAATTCTGAGATAGGCCTCCTGGACACGGTATCGGACTACTGGTGTGCACATTTTGCGAGCGATCGCTAGCTCCTGGAATCGGGCGAGCCATGGACATGGATTTTGGACCTCCACCAATGGTCATCTGAAATTTCAGAATTCTGGAGTTTCAGCCAAAAAAATTATTTTAATTTGAAAAAAAAAAAATTTTTTTTTTAATTTTTGGGCTTTTTTGGGTTAGAGATACTACAAAAAATGGTCACACAAAAGGATAGTTTTCTTAGAATTCCGAAAAAAAAAGTTTCAAAAAAAAAGTTATCAAAAAGCAAAGGACAAAAAAGGTGTGTGAATGTTAGATTTGGGGAATACTGTAGATGTCATCTACAGTACCCTACAGTAAGATACTAACCGGTCGGGAAGAGCCACCGCGGCCGTGCTGTTGCTCCTCCTCGTCCATCGTCATCAGCTCGTCCATTATTAGGTCGTCGAGCTGGAAGAAACGGCAAGTAGTACGGTAGGTTGGTAGGTATACGGTAGGTGGGCTTTAGAGGGTTAGTATGTAGGGGATTACGGTAGAGGAAGCAGCAAAAAAATCATGCACATTTTTTTTGAATTTTTGAGCCTAAATATGTCCAAAAATACTGAAATCCAGAAATTCGAAAATTCGGAAATTCAAAAATTCAGAAATTCAGAAATTCGGAAATTCAGAAATTCAGAAATTCAGAAATTCAGAAATTCAGAAATTCAAAAATTCAGAAATTCAGAAATCAAGAAATTCGGAAATTCGGAAATTCAAAAATTCAGAAATTCAGAAATTCAAAAATTCAGAAATTCAGAAATTCAGAAATTCAGAAATTCAGAAATTCAAAAATTCAGAAATTCAGAAATTCAGAAATTCAGAAATTCAGAAATTCAGAAATTCAAAAATTCAAAAATTCAGAAATTCAGAAATCAAGAAATTCGGAAATTCGGAAATTCAAAAATTCAGAAATTCAAAATCCAGAAATTCGGAAATTCGGAAATTGCGAAATTCAGAAATTAAGAAATTTATCGACACTTATTTTTTGCCAAAATCTACCGTAACCCCTTGAATAGCTTCAAAACAGGAAAAATGAAACATAGATACAGCGAATAAAACAAACGGTTAGTTGTACAGTAATCCTAAAATTTTCAGATTTTCCAAAATTCCCGCTACAGTAATCCCAAAATTGCAAAAAAAAACCCACATCATGTCCAAACATATTCATGCCACCGCCTGGAATCGGACTCTCGCCAAATCGCTGAATTTTGTCATTGT